AAACCTTCCAAATTAGGCCTTTCTGCTTCGTTTCAAGCTATTCCCTAAAATATTCTCCTTCTCCAAAAGTGCATCCCTGTTCTGCAGGGGAATTTGTACCTCGTGTTTGCACATGGAAGCAAAAGCAGCTCTAAACACAGCAATCCACAGCGGCCATCAGATCCACCTCCATCCCTCCTGCTTGAAACAGGGCGAATACCATCTGCAAACTTTCCTCTTTGCAGATTTACCCACATGTTTGGAGCTATCTTAAACCAAAAGGCTCTAAATGAAGCACAATTGAGGGATTTCCACTTCTGAAGAGCAGCAGAGTTGCATCTAGATGAAAAATCAATTGTCCAAAGGTCACAAAGCTTCAGGAAAAGGAAACCAGCTCAAGAACACTCAGGAACACGTCTGAAAACGGCCACAGAAACAGGGGGTTAAACAGCACATAGGAGGAATCTGGATAAGACTTCCTATATAAAAATATATGCATAAATATATATTATATATATATATATTCAAACTATAAAATCTTGCAGAATATTTGCAGAATGTCCAAATACATTCCAAAGGCAGAAAGGGACTCAGTGTGTAAACTTAATACCTGCTATAGAAAAAAGGTTAATATCTCTATATTTTGCTGCCCATTGCATCAGATACAAAGGCTTTTCCAAGGCCCCTCCTCATCACTGCCCGATTCATCCAGGGAAGCTTTGCAATGCAATGTTATTCCAGCAGGAGTATTAGTAGTTCCTACTCCAAAGGGAGCCTAAGTTTTGCCACCCTGAGGTCGTTTTGCCATATATAAGGTTTGGAAATTGGCCCCGTGTGGTTGCCATCCCAAAAGCTTCCCAAAAACGGGTTCAAGATTTTCCTTCCGGGAATTCAAGCCAAGACAGCTCCGCTCCAGCTGTTTTTGGAACGAGTTAAAAACGGGGTTTCTTTGAACAGCTCTTCAGCCAAAATAGCTACGGATCAACACGGAAATATTTTAGGAAAGCAGTTCACTACAGCGAGGAGATTGTGGAGGTTTCCAGTGAAAAGTGGCTCTCACTTGGCTTTCCCTTTGCTGTCTCCATGTCTTCAAAATGAGGGAATAAAGCAACCACGATCCAAACCTTAATCTAGCAATATGCGGTATCTTATTTGCAAATCCTAATGTTTAAAGATGATTTCATCCATAATTACCACACTTTTTAAATTATTATTAAGAGGCATTCCAGCTCTGCACGGGGAACAAGGCCATTTCCATAAATTAATGCCGTCAAGTACAATCAGCTACCAGGGTCTTCAGAAAATCCCTGATTTTGTATATCCTGCACACAGCATAGGCCAGCTGCTATTTTCACTTATCAAGCATTTAGAACATGTTTTAAATCCCTAAAAACTGCTTTTCATGTTTCATCTTCTCTGCAGCTGTTTCAATATCTGGTCCAAATTACATTCTCAAAGCGCAACTTTTCCTTTTTCCCCACCTTTTGCCAGAAATATCTGAGCAGCTTGGAAAGAGCCAATAAAGTCTCTTAGTGGGGGTGGAGGGAGGGGATTTTTGTTTTCTAATTATTAAATTTAAAAAAGAAAAGATACAGGAGAATATTAAAAGGCACTCAGGAAAGGCCTGGCTTCATCCTGAAAACATTTAATTGCTTTCTCCTTTGAATTGCCTCTGGCAGAGTGAAAACAGCAGAGTTTCCTGGAGATTCATAGCCTACTTTGGAGGAAAAAAAAAAGAAATTAATTTAAGGCTGGGGGTGGAGAGGGAAGGTCAAGCATCAAAATCAAGCAGTAAATTATAAAAGCCACTGCGACGAGCTCAGAATGAAATGGCAAACCAGCGAGACAGCCAGAATTAACTCAGGAATGGCCTTCTCGCTCCTGTGATTAGTCCATTAAAACCTGCTGTCCCTCGGGTTATTAGAAGCAGCCTATTGGGATGTTTCTGCCTAAAATGAGGATATGATATACGAGGCTTGGGCCTTAGTTAAGATTCGCTCACAATGCTGGAGTATTCCTGCCCGGAGGCAGATGGAGGATTTGGAGGACGGG